TCAGTCGTCGGCCGTCGGCGTCACCTTGTCCTCGGCTTGACGGGCCCCTCAGATCCAGCTGGCGCGAACAACATTTGGCGACGGCCTGTTGTTTGACGTCTTCGGCAGCTGGGGGTCGTCTCTGGGCCGCCTCTGGGCCCCAGGGCCGCTAGCAGCAAGAAACGCCGGCCCCCTTTGAAGAACGTCGATGTTTCCAGGGGCCCACCTAGCGAGGTGCCGCCGATGCTCGAGCAGTGGCGAAGCGTCCTGTCTTGCCTACAGGCCCACCGCAGAATGTTCTAAGCAGCCTTTGTGGTCTGCACGAACTGTTCTTCGAACATTTCGGGCGGAGGCTGTCTTGCCTTGACACATCGGGTTTGTCTCTATCGAGGATCTATCGCCGATCTATCAGCGATGTCTTGCCGATCCCAGGCCGACGCCTCCTCCCCCTGATAGCTGGCCCTCCTCGAGCGAAAGGCCGACCCATCGGCGATGTACTGCAGATTCCATGTCGATGCTTCCCCCCTGAGTCGCTCCCCCCCCTGGCTCCCCAAACCTCCGACGTCGTGATTTTTTCACGACGTCGACCCCCAGAGGTCTGGACCCATTCCCCAGGACCGGTTTTTCACCCCGAGTCGTTTTTTTAGGCTCCCGGGGCCCAGTGAAGACCCCCAGGGGCCGAAAATAGCGAAAAACCTCCCGTCGTGACTTTTCCACGACGCGAGGAGGTCTGGGCCTGCCCCTCAGGCCGAGGCCCCCCTGCCGCCGCTCGGCGACCCCGCGGCGCCGCCGCCGCGGGCGCCGGGCGGCGGCGCGACCCCCGCGCCGGCGGCGGCCGCCCGGCTCTTCGCGGAGGCAGTGCGGCGCTCGGCGGCGGCAGGCGCCGCCGCGCGGGGGGGCCAGCGGAGGCCTGCCTTCTGCGGCGCCGCGGCACCGCGGCCTCCTGGCGCTCGCGTGCTGCTGCTCGCTGCTCCTGCTCCTGCTGCCTCCTCCTCGTCGGCCTCCTCCATATGCTGCATGCTTTCTTCTCCGTTCGCCTCCGTGCTCCTCTTGCGCCTCCCCCTCCTCCTGTCTGCGCTGGCCGGGCTTGAGCAGCGGGGCCGCAGCGTGGTCCTCCACCTCGAGGCGTGCGCCCTCCTCCTGCCTCCTCCGCCTCGAGGCATCCGCACTGTCCCTGCCCTCCTCCCACTTCCTCCCAACACTTGCGGCCTCCTCTTCCCCCTCCCGTCCAGCACTATGGCCGGCAGCCCGCGCGGCGGCCAGGCCGCCGCGCGGCGCCCAGGCCGCCGCGCGGCCTTCCAGATTGCACGCGTGCCCCGTCTAGGGGCTGCGAGGCGGAGGGCCCAGGGCAGTGGCACCGCTGAGCCCCCACTATCGGGCCCTGCTTCGGATAGTTTATGCATATATGTACATCTATGTGTATGCCTGTATGTATGTGTGTGGGTGTGTATATATAGTTTGTGTATATGTATATATATATATATACAAACTATATATATATATATATATATATATATATATATATATATATATTGTAATGGCCTACGGTCAGTGCCGCCGATCCGGGGGGCTCCTGATTCGATGATCTTCGCGGCTCTGTGGCCTCCTCCCTCCTCGATTCTTCCGGTCCTCTTTCTTCTCCTCCGTGGGCGTGCCTGGAGCGGTCCCGGGGGTGGTCCGGGGAGGGTTCCGAGGGGAGGGTCCGAGAGTCGGTCGAGGCTAGGTCTGAGGGGGGTCCCTGGGACCCCCCGAAACATTTTAGAAATGCGACCCCCCTGCCTCCCCTCTTCCCAGGGGTGGTCCGGACGCGCAAAGTATGCAGAAAACGCCAGATGGGGGACCGCCCCCCCCGTTCCCCGGCAGAGCCACCCCGGCGACCCCCCCCAAGCAGAGCTGATGCTCTTGCTTCGGCTCAAGCTGAAGCTCTTGCCGAGGCTCCTTGTATTTCACTCGCCGTGTATCGGTGGGTGTTATATATATATATATATATATAATTTCCAGCATCCTGGTTAAGGGGAGCCGGTTAGTGAGCCCCGAGGTCCCCCAAAAGGCACCACAATCATTAAGCCAAGTTTGCCGTAGCTGGTGCTTCTGCGGGTGACGGGAGGTCCCGTCATTGGAATGAAGGGGGCTGGGGGAGGAAGCGGGGGTCGCCCCCCTGAATACACCACCAAACTGCGTCCCACGAAGCCCAGTCCCGCCGACGCCCGACTGCTGCCGATCGCAGGCAGTCGCGCAGGGCCCGGCTGGGCAGGAGGCCCGTCGTGGCACCGGTCAGCCGCGTAGCCGCCGTGCCGCTCGCGGGCCGCGTGGCGGCGCGACGTCTCATGAGCAGGCCGTGTCGTGAGTTTTGTTCCTCCTCTCGCGGGGACGGGGTGCATGCGGCGCCCCCGACAGGCGTGCGCGCGCGCGCGTGGTGGCCCGCCGCGCAGGGGGTGCGGCGCCGCGGCCGCAACCAGTGGCGGAGGCATCGGCGGGCGATGTGCGCGTGTAGGGGCGCCACTGGCGGGATGTTTCGGGTCGCTCGGGCGGCGTACATGTTTTTGCTTATCGCGTACACCCAGCAAGCAGGAGCGCTGTGCATCCTGAGGGCCGCGTGGGCTGGTCTGCAACGACGCTCATGGCTCGTGGCGCCTGCCGCGAAGCAGTGTTACCGAGCAGTCGCAGGGAGACTTGCAGGGGGATCGTGTCATGCCATGTGTGCGTCTGTAACCACATTCTTCTGAGTTGCGGTTGGGCCACTTTCTTGGCAGCTGGCAAGAGATTTCGGAGACTTCTGGGAACTTCGGAGAGGAGGCCGGCGGAAGCCGTCGGCAAGACGCCCGCGAGGCGGCGGCGGGCCGGCCGCCACGAGGCGGAGCCGGCTGGAGCAGGCCGCCACGAGGCGGCGGCGGTGGAGCGCGTCTGCACGTCTTCGGCGCGGCGGCGGCGGGCGCCGTCCCACCGCACGAAACCGAAACGCGCACGGGGAATGGGCGTCCGAGCGATGGCAACGGACTGGGGGCGGCGGTGCGCTGGGCAACTGGCGTTGCGCTGGGCAGCTGAGCAGCTGCCCGGCGCCTGGCATGTGTCCAGCTGTTCAGTGCCGGCGGCGGTGCGCTGGGCAGCTCTGGCGGTGCGCGGCGGCGGAGCTGTCGCCAGATCTCGGCGGCGCCGCTGCGGGCGCCGCAGCGTGCTGTGCGGGCTGTGCCGCCGGAGGCGCGCGGGGGCTGCGAGGACGCGCTTCTGGAGTCATGGGGCAACGATGTAAGTCGAGCAGTTGCGAAGCGTCCTGGCTTGCCTATAGGCCTACCAAAGAACCTCTTGTGGTCTGCACGAGATGGTCTTGGACCATTCCTGGCTGAGGCTGTCTTGTTTTAGTTCATCGAGTTCATGGTTTATGGAACTTGCTGTTGTTCTCAGAATACCTGTTGGTTATGAGGAGATTTCGGGGTAACGCTTGTAGGAATACTGGGACGGTCCGTCCCTGCTCAAGGAAGGGGGGACAGGCTCAGGGGGAGATGCATCGACCCCCAGTCACCCGTTGATCGCCGCTAGGGGCCAGATAGCCCACCCCGCCCAGGAGCGTGCGGAGCTGCAATCGGGGGCCGATCGCCGAGCTATCGGCGACGCGTCGCCGATGCCAGCTCGATGTTTACCCCCTGAGCCAGTCCACCTCTCATGCAGTGGCGAAGCGTCCTGGCTCGCCTATCGACCTACCAAGCAATGTTCTAAGAACTTGTTGTGGTTTCCACGAAATGTTCTTAGAACATTTCTGACGGAGTCTGTCTTGTGTTCTCACATCGTGCTTATAGTATAAGAACATTGCCTTTGTTCTTGGAACATTTTTGGGTTCTAAGAACATGTCGTGGTAGGACTTTAGGAATGCCGGGACGGTCGATTCCTGCTCACACCTCTCTCGCTGTCCCTCGTGCGGGCGTGGTCGCGGGCCGCGCGTCGACGTCCCTGGGCATCCCATCGCTGGGGCGCTGCGCCCGGCAGCTGCTGCTGCCGCGGCGTCGCCGCCCGCCGCTCTTGGCGGCGCCCTGCGGGCGCCGCCACCGCCCGCGTTGGGGCTGCGTCGCGGGGGGCGCGCTGACGCTGCGCGGCCTCCCGCTGGCGGGGGGGGGGCCCTGGCGTGCAGCCGACAAGCGTCTTTCTCCGCCGCCGCCCGCGTTGGGGCTGCGTCGCGGGGGGCGCGCTGAGGCTGCGCGGCCTCCCGGTAGTGGGGGGAGGGCTGGCGTGCAGCCGACAAGCGCCTTGCTCGCAGGCTCGCCCTGCCGCTCGCGGCTGGCTGCCCGCGCGAGCCTGCATGTGCTCCAGCACACCCGTGCAAGATCTTCACGGTCTGGGCGTGCTCCGCCGCCGGCGGCCTCCTTCCCCCCTCTGCGAGCCGTTTCCTGCTTCGGTTTGGCCCGATTCGGCTGGGGCGTGTCCTCCGCTGCCCCGACCCGCGGCTTGGTCCCAGGTCGCCGCGGCCTTCCCGCTTGCGGCGACTGGCAGTCCCTGCCAGTCGAGAACCCAGCACGCCGTTCCCTGTCAGGTTGTACTGCTCGAAGAGGCATGGCCCCGATGGTCGCGGGCCGCGCGTAAATGCCCCTCGGCATCCAGTGGTAGATGGTGCTGCACTTGGCCTCCCTCGAGCTGCGATTGCGCCCGTGGCGCGCGCTGGCGGCGCTGCCCCGCAGCTCGCCATGGTCTTGCCGCAGAGTCGGGCTCGGGGGCGTCCTCGACGGGCGTTTCTGCCTCCCTCGACGCTCGGGTGCCCTGCGGCCCCCCCGTGCCCGTGCCCCCCCCCTGGGGAGCTTCCCATCCCGTGGGGGGAAGGGATACCGATACCACCAGCCTGCCCTCGTCGCCACGGCGGAGTTCGCCTCGGCGTCCCGGTCCGAGCGCGCCCCCTGGAGAGGGTCGGGGAGTAGCGGCTCTGGCCAGGAGCCCGGAGCGCGCCGAGAGACCTGCCCGAGGCCTGGAGGCACCGATCCCGCCCCTCCTGGCCCGCTTCCTCCCTGTCTCCCCCCGGGCCGCCCGCGGGCACGTCCTGGCTCGAGCCGCTCTGGCTTGAAGAGAAGACTCGCTGCAGGCGCGCTCCGAGCCACGGCGATCTCTACCGGCCCTGCGGCCATGGCACCGCGCCGCCCCGGCCGCGCCCTCCTGGCCGTCGCGGCCGCGGCGTCCGCCGCATGGGCGGTCCGCACCACGTTCGTGCCTTCGCCACAGGCCTCGCGGGCCATGGGCGAGCTCCGCCCCGTGCTCGCCGTGAGCGCCGCGCTGCCGGCGCTGACGCTGCTGGCCGAGGACGCGGAGGCCAAGTACGGCGACCAGAGGCCAGGGGGAGGAACATCGCAGAAAAAAACACAAACATAAACTGTTGGCGCTCTGCGCGGATTTCTTGGATCCGCGCTTGGCCCCCCCCCCCCGGCGGCGCCTCCGGCGCCGCCCCTTGCGCGCTCCGCGCGCCAGGGAAGGGGGTCCAGCGTAGGTCCAAGAAATCTGCGCGGAGCGCCAACAGTTTATGTTCATGCTGTCTTATTTACGTCTAGAAAAGGTACGGTTGGTACGTTGGTTCAGGAATGTGCCCAGGAAGCTTCAGACCCCGGGGGATTCCTGAGCTGATGAGCGCGGCGGCGATGCTCAGGGCCAGTACACGATTGGAGTTCCGCCGGCTTCCAGGCTCTGCCTTCCTTGTCCAATGGCTCCTAATCCAAAGCCCTCACCGTATCGATACCGCTCCCTCAGGCCCAGGCGCCGCATTATCTCGCACCGCGCGTTTTCGCCCCGTTTCGAGCCCGTGGGTCGTCACGGAACCATCGGGCCCGACAAACATGTAGGAGAGATGGGTTCCGGGGCTTTGGTCTCGGTTTTTGTTCGCGATGTTGCACGTGCGTCGCAGCGTCGGATCTCAGGTCTACCCCTCCCTCTCGCGCCGAGCGCCTGGCCCGAGCGCGCCCCAGGAGAGGTTCGTGGCGCAGCGGTATATCAGTATCCCTTTGCCCCCCCCCCACCCCGAGAGGAAGTGGCATTCCGTCTTGGTGCCGCTGACCACCCTGATCGTCCCTGGCATCGCGTTCGCGGCCTTCCTGCTCTACACCTTCTCCGACGACTTCGCCTGGCAGCTCAACCCGAACGCGCCGAAGAACATCGAGAAGCAGGCCCAGTACGACATGGTCCCCGCCTGGAAGAACCGCAGCGATCCTTTCAGGGGTCTGTTGAACAAGGATGACTTCGAGAAGGGCCTGGAGGAGGCCTGGGAGAAGGCCAAGCCGGCGGGCAGCACCGTCACGGTTAAGCAGAAGCTGGCCGAGATGTCCACCCAGAACAACCCCCATTTTATGGAGAACAAGCTGGCGAAGCTGAGGATGAAGGCGAGGGCGGCGCTGTCCGCCTGATTCAAGGCAGGGGGGAGGAGATGGAGGAGGTGATTCTAGAAGCCTGCGCGCGAGCATGGATTCTCGATGTCGTCGACGCCGCTCACAGAGGCGACTGATGGAAACACCAGGCTTTTACCCCCCTCTGGGCCCACGAGCTGGCCGGGATCGGCGTGGTCCCCCGAAACGCCGCTCGCAGCATGTCAGATTGCTTTTGGCACCGACAGAGATCTCGGCGCTGGCCTTCCCAGCACGTGAGCGACGCAGAAACACGGGGTCGTTGTCACCGACGTTGGTGCGTAACCTGCCCGCGTAAGGTCGCGCGTAGTGGGGGGGGCCGCCGGGCAACGCCTCTCTGGGGATCCCAAGGTGGGGCGCCCTCCGCTACGGCGTCGGGCGCCAGCCGACAGGCCCCCGGCCCCGAGGAAGCGAGGGTCCGCGGGCATTGCTCGTGAACTATGAAGGCCGCGCCGCGGGGCTCGGCTGGCCAGGCGCTCCGATTGAGCCAGGCATGAAAGGAGAGTGTGAGGAGGCGGAGGAGGAGGAGGAGGAGGAGGAGGAGGAGGAGATCCGCCGCGGGCGCCCTGCCCCCGCCGCGGCGCGCATTTTTTAGAAGAGCTCCTTGCGCTCAAGCAGGCGGCGCTGGTCGCGCACGGCCGTCAAAAGACACCCTCGTCCTCCTCGTCTCTCGGGGGTTGCTACATGTGCCCCTGGCCCAAGGTGCCCCAGCTTCTCGCTTTATTTGGGGGCCGTCTGGGCCTCGTGAGGGGTTCTCTGGAGGCCGTAGGGGCCTCCTTGAAAATCCTGGGGGCACCTTGGGCCAGGGGCGCTTCTAGCAACGCCCGAGCCTCGCCATGAGGGAAAACCAGATGTCCGACGATATTGCTTGTTTTGTCAATCGCGGCGGTTTCCCTTCATTTTGACCTCTGAGGTCTGCTATCGGGCCCCGGGACCCTCATACATGGATCCAGGACAAATAGGAATACCCCCGAGAGAAGGGGTCGGGGCTCCTCGGGCCGCGAACGGAAGCAACTATACTGTTGGATGTCCGGGATGGCGTCCTGAGGGAAACGGGTCCAGGAGGCCCCCTCCCCCACTGCATGCTGATGTGGAACGTCTGTGATGGCATCCGGCAGTCGTAACCAATGTGTGACGTTCCAGATCAGCCGCGCGTTGAACACAGCAACGCTGCATCGCTAGATGTCTGGGAATCTTTGGTTGACCCAAGAAGGGGGTCCAGCCGAAAGAGGGTGGTGCAATAGATTTGATGCAATCGATGTGTGGGGTTGCACTAGATCTTGGGCGTTCCGTACTGGATGCAATGCAATGCGATTCTCTGGCGCACTGATTTTGCCATACAGTTGCCCCCAAGCCTGTTGCACCACCCCCTTTTTCAGCTGGACCCCCTTGTGGCCAACCAGAGAGAGGGGGGGGGGGGGTCCGAGGGAAAAGCGGGCCCCGGAGGCTCTCGGGGGGCCGCTCTCGGGGGGCTCCCGTGGGGCCCCCTCTCGTCGGGCCCCTCTGGGGCCTGCCGAACGGGACGACTCTCGGGGGGGGGGGGGGGGGGGGGGGGAGGGTTGGTTCCAGGGTGGCGGCCCCTCGTGCCTCATGTCTCAGGAGGGGAAAAAACACACAGACACAATGAATTGTCGATCCCCAGGAAAATATCGGAAAGTATGGGAAGTGGTGGGGAAGACAAAAACCCAGAGAATATAGGAAAATATGGGGCATCTTTTTATTTGTGTGTATTTATTTGTGTGTCCCAGTTTCCCTTCAATGTCGGCGGCGGGCGAGGTGGGGGGAGGGACGTGCGAGCGAGCAGGCCCTCTCAGAAGGCGGCGGGGCCTCTCAGAAGAGAAGGTTTTCTCTGGCTTCGGGGAAGGCGGAGGGAACTTTTCTCGGGAGGCCTCGGGGGGGGCTTCCGAGCCTTCTGAGAAGCCGAGAATTAAGGCCCTCTCCCCCTCGCTTCCCCCCGGGCTCGCCGCCGATCATGGAGGAGGGGTGCGTCGCAGTCTCCCGCCTCCCTCGCTGGGCTTCCAGGGCCCTCGTCGGGCCCCAGGGCCGTCAACGGGAAGACGCGGGGCGGAGAGGCGGTCCCAGGGGGATGCTCTTGTTTCCGTGTGGGGGGGGGGGCCACGGTTTGCCTTCGTGCCTCATGGAGGAGGGGCCGGTCCACTCGGCAACATGTGTATACCATGCCCAACCGGCCCTGGGTGGCGGGCGAAGGTCGGGGTCGTGGGATGCAGGCTTCCCTCCCTGGGGCGTGCTCTTTGTATACTGCAAGGGGCCCCTGGCGATGGAATCTGACTGGGGCGGGGAGGGGGTGGTGTGCAAACGAATTATGAGGAGTCGGTCACAGTCCCCCGCCTCCCTTGCTCTTCGGACTGGCCGTCAGGATGCTTCGAACTCGGACTGCGCATCGAGTCCTCTACTCGTCCTCCTTGTCATGCCCCTGCTCTGAAGTCCTCGGTCGTGGGACTCTTGTTTCACGCAGCCGGTTAGCCTTCGCGGAGCATGCCCCCCAAAAACACTGCCTCCGAGGCCGCAGACGACCGCAGAAGGCCGACGGGCAGGAACGGGGTCCATGGCGGAACGCGCCACTGCAGATCCTCTTCACCTCGGGGGTTGCTAGAACGGTGCCCCTGGCCCAAGGTTCAAGTCGGGCATGTACCTCTACAGTGGGAATATTCAAGAATTGTCAGGGGACGATTTTTCGAATATTGTGTTGTTTGAGCCTTGTTGGAGTGCTTTTGATTTTCCCCCAACAGCATCCGCCTGCAGAAGGACATGCCCGACCGAACCCAATGCCCCCAGCTCTTCGCTCAGTCCTGAAGCCCCCGGGGCCCCCTGGGCCTCGCGAGGGGTGCTCTGGAGGCCGCGGGGGCCTCCCTGGAACTGATGGGGGCACCCTGGACCAGGGGCACTTCGGGCAGCACCCCGTCGTCTTCCTCATCCGAGATCTGCCCGAAGCGGCTGTGGCCGAGCACCCATTCTGCACTGCGCCGGCAGGCGTGCGCAGCGCGGGTCGTTCCTCCCAACTTCTCCATCCTCCGTCGGCACCCCTCGCTCGCCTGCGCCCTCGCGCGCCTCGTCGTGTCCGTAGCCATTGTGGCTCGAGTGTTCACCTGGCCTCGGACCGTCGGGCCGTTTTCTGACTTGTGCGCGGTGGTAGCTGCAGCATGACAGTGCCTGCTTGCTGGAATGGGCCCCTGAGGAGGTCAGCGGTCAGGTCGTACCCTGCATTCTCACCAGGGCGACCCTGCTGGAGGCGCAGTTGGTTCTGCTCTCCGGCCACGCGGCAGGGGCACGGAGACGGTGGCCACGGTCAGGGCCTGACTGCAGACATAGAAGCAGAGATAGAAGATGATGGCCTCCGCAGGAAGGCCACACGAGTGACTTGGCTGGGGGTCGGAGCAAACGTTTGTCTGACAGGGCTCAAGGGTGCTGCGGGGTACGCCTCTGGAAGCACGGGCCTGATGGCGGACGCGGTGCACAACATGACGGACCTCGCCGGAGACGCCGTGTCGCTTCTCACTCTGCGGGTGGTCGCCGCGCCTGCTGACGAGAAGTATCCGTATGGATACGGGAAGTACGACGCTGTCGGGACGCTGGGGGTCGCTGGGATTCTCCTGGTCACCGCAGGTGAGATACTTCACCAGTCGCTCGAGTCTCTGCTAGAGGTTGTTCGGGGAAACCCGTGTGGGCTGCAGATGGCTCCGATGGCGCTGGGAGTTGCTGTCGTGTGCGTTGCCGTGAAGGAAATTCTCTTCCGCATAACCCTGCGAGTGGGGAAAGAGGCCCGATCATCTGTTGTCATCGCCAACGCCTGGCACCATCGAAGCGATGCTCTCTCCTCGTTAGTTGTCATGGGCGGCATCGGAGGCGTCATGGTCGGGCTGCCGTACATGGACGCCGTCGGTGGGGTGATGGTGGCCGGCTACACGGCAAAGCAGGCGGTTGAGATCGGATGGGGCGCAGTGAAGGGATTGACGGACCAGCAGACGGACACGCGGCTTCTTCACGGCATCAGAGAGGTCGGTGACAAGCTTATGGTCGGAGGGATCATCACTGGATTGTCCAAGGTGCGGGTCCGGCACTTCGGTGCCTATTGCCTCGTGGACTTGAACGTGATCGTCGACCCGTTTCTCTCAGTCGGAGACGCGCACAAGCGAACAAAGATTGTGCGCAGGGCGATTCAGCTGGAGCACCCGGAGGTGCACGAAGTCCTGGCGCACGTTTGCCCCTCGGACGTCCAGCACGACTGAGCGGGGTGGAGCGCTGCTCGAGGCCTCTTGGTCTGCTGCAGCTTTGCCCTGCCGGCAGAGGTGCCGCACCTGGGCCGGGGGGCGAGGATCCTGCCGGAAGCCTGGCGGATCGAGCCTCTGGGCGGCGAGCGTGGGCGGCGCGCCGCAAGGGGGCCGGGCGTGGGGGCGAGCGTCGGTGGAGCGAGAGGTCCTGGCGCAGTGAGCGGGCGGGGCGTGGGGGCGAGCGTTCGATGAGCAAGAGGCCATGGGCATGATACGTTTCAAGTTTCCCAGGTGTTCAGCATGTCTTCCAATACTACCTTGCTTTCCACACGGGTTCCCCTCCTTGGAGCACTTGGAACGTGTCCTGAGCCAGTGGTATCATGAGGGCGTCGTCGTCCTGAACGGGGGGTGGTGTCCCCCCGCCTCTCAGCAGCACCCCCTTGCCTTCTAAAGAGGCCTTCTTCAAGGCCTCTTTGGAGGGGCCCTGCCCCTTCGAAGAAGCGCCCCCCCCCCCCTGCCCACTCGTAGAAAGCCACCCCGCTCGCCCCGCCCCTCTTGTGTGCGCCCCGCCGAAAGGAGATCGGACCCACCAGCGGCCTCGTGATCTTCGCGGGTAGGGTGTCCGTCCGGAGCGTCGTGCCGTCATTCTGCAAGGCTATGGCTCGCCCCTCCCCGCTGCAGGGGAGTCCTGCGTCTTCGCCGTTTGTCGCCCGGTGTTTGTTTGTCCTGGGTGCAGGGTCCAGGACCCGCTTCGCTGAAGACCCCTTTGCTCAATGTCAAATCGTCTTTCTGTTGAGATCCGACGTCGCGAAACTTGCACCATCGAACAAACAAAAAACAAGTCGACCGGAGCCCTCGACCCCATCTTGCTACAGCCAGATCGATCCGCGAAGGTCCCGGGGCCACACACAGACACACACGAAATGCAGAGCACGACGTCGGGAAGGTCGGAGTAGCATGGCCTTCTGCGTCCGAGGACCGTCGACGGCCCTCGGGAGATCTCGGGGTGGAGGACGGGAGCGCCACACCCGTTTTGGGCACGGGCCAGACCAGGCAGCGGCCCCCCCTCGCGGGGCTCGCGACGAGCGGCGCGAGGAGCTCCACCCGCATCGCAGGCGACCATGACGGTCAAGACATGGACACGAGGACCAGTTTGTGCTCAGGAGAGGCTCCCGGTCCTTCCTTACAGTCGGCCCGGATTGGTAGGTCGACCCTGCCAAGTCAAGGGCGCCCTTGTGTCCGGTGTCCCGCGACCCATGCCTCCTGCATTCCCGTGGCAGAGTGCCCCTCGGAAAGGGTCTCTTGTCCTACCGCGTGCCCTCTCCAATCAAGCCCGACTGTATGCCTAGGTCGAGGAGCGTATTCTTTTCCGAGGCTCACCGTGGCCAGAGAAGTCCGGTCTTTCCGTCTCTGGTGCTCCTTGTCATTTGTTGTGTTTTTTTTTTTTTTCTCTTGATCCAAGCAGCACTTTGCTTGCAACAGAAGCAAGAACAGGCACACACACCAAGCATGTGGCGTTCCCTCTTCGTGGTGGCTGCATGCCCTCGGCGCTTCGGCCCCGGAGCCTGCTTTCCAGTCCCTTGCGCGACCGCGGCAGTCACCAGCGGGGGGGTGGAGGGGGAGGGGGGGAGAGGGGACGGGGCCGGTGGCGTAACGAGGCGCGCAGGTCGGGGCTCAAGAGACAGGAAGGGAAAAACACGCACACAGACACAATTGATCGTCGATCCCCAGGGAAGTATTGGAAAACATGGGAAGTGGGGGGGAAGGCAGAACAAAAACATAAAATCTGGTAAATGTAGGGAATCCTGTTATTTGTGTGCATTTGGTTGTGTGTCCCATGGCTTCTTTAAAGAGACGGGGATCAGTGCAAGCGGCGGTCAGCCAGAGCGCCAGACCTGTCGGGATCCTGCAGAGACAGGGTCGCACCAGCCCGGGTTTGGGTGCAGGATCCTGCAGGATTCTGGTGGAGTGTTGCAGGATCCTGCCAAGCCCGCTTGACCCAGGTCAGGATTGACCCTGGTCAGTCCATCCCCGAGCTGATGCCGTCTGGAACTCGGCTACCATTAGCCTTTCCTAGATGGCGCTGGCGCAGATCATGGCCGTCTCAGTGGGGCGGGGGAGGCGGGCGGGCGTCCCCGCTCGCCGGCGTTACCGCGTATCGTGTGAGAGCGCACCCTCAAGAAGAAGAAGAAGCAAACAACGAAGGCGCAAATTGACAAAGAAATCAGAATCGGCCTCGCGCGAATCCTTGAGCTGAATCAGAGAAGCAGGAACGCATATAAGCGTGAGCTGTTGGAGGTCCGCGCGGTCCTCCGAGAGTTCCTTCTATGCAGCAGGCTGTCTGTTCCTCTCCGTAGTGCAGGCCCCCAGTCCCGACTCCTGGTCGTGCCGTGCGCGGCGCGTTCCCGAGTTCGGCGCGGCGCGCGAACGGCAGTGCAGATGCGAGCGGAGGGCTCGGGACCACCTCGCCTGCAGCGTGCCGGAGCTGTTTCACCACCTGGGCCGGACTGGAGGTCAGCCTCTGGGGCAGCGATCGGGGGTGTAGGCTCAGGGGGGGACACATCGACCCCCAATCGCCCATTCATCGCCGATAGAGGCCCGATGGCCCGCCCTGCTCGGGAACGTGTGGATTCGCTATTGGGGCCTATCGCCGATCTATCGGCGGTGTTCATCGAGGATCAAAGAACCCCCAACCCTAATAACAGAGTGAAGACGCGGCCTCACTGAGGGCCCCGTCCTTGCATGAGGGATAATTGACAATTCTCGGCGGTTTTTGGTCTGGCACATCTGCAGAGAAAGACCCCCATATGCCTGATATTTTTGGCCCTCTTAACTTATTGGGTCCCCTCCCAAAGGGTTAGGGGTCCTTGTGGTCAATCAGACGTGCCGCCGATTCCAGTTCGACGTTGGCCCCCCCCCCCCCGAGCTGGTCCCTCCGCCGATTTCCGGGTCCTATCTCGGGTCTCCGGCGGCCGCTCGGGGGGATGCGTGGGCAGCCCCGGCATGCCCTCGGCGAGGCGCAGCCGCTGGAGCGCACCCCGCGGCTGGCGAGCGTCCAGGGACGGGCGAAAACGTCCGGGAGCCTCGAGCCTCGGAGCCCGTCTCGTCCGCCCCTGAGCCGGAGTCCCCCCCCCCCCCCCTGGCGCTGCCCCGTCCTGCTGCGGCTCGCGGCCCGGCAGGTCCAGGCGTGCAGGGCCTCAGCCCAAGAGGTCGGGCGCACCGGCAGAGCGGGGGCAACAGGGACGTGGCGGGTGGCCCCGGAGGAGCCCCGCGCGGCCCCGAAGACTGCCACCGCAGGCCCAAGCTGAGAACGAAAGGTGCACGTCCTCCCCCCCCCCGTCCTCCCCCCCCCCCCCCCACCCCCCCCCCGCTTATTGAGCGGGATGGGTTTTTAAGAATGAGTGCCCCCCCCCCCCCCCTGAGCTCTCGGCGGGGAAGAGAAACTCGTCCCTCCTCCTCCTCCTCCTCCTTCCCCTCCCTCCTCCTCCCCCTCCCTGGGGCGGCGGCGACTCCAGCGGAGGCCTGTGCGGTGGCCGCCGCGGGGGGGGTTCCAACTCTTGTGGGGGCCCCAATCCGTCAAGAAGCCCGCTTGCCCGGGGGTTTGTCCAAGACCCTGCGGGGTTCTTTTGTTCGCCCGTGGGTGGGCGCCCGAGATGGCATATGGCAAGGACTGCCCCTGGGCGCGCACAGAGAGAGGGGGAGAGAACGAGCACGGGCCGGGGCGCGGTCTCATCGCCGCGGAGGGGGCCATGAGCCCCACGGAGGCCCAGAGCCCCACGGATGGAGAACTCGGAGGGAGGAGAAGCGATACCAACACCACCAGGGGGCCCACCTCCAGCGAGGAGGTCCACAGTGCCTCCCCGATCGAGAGACTGGGGATGTCTCGAGCGAGAGGGGGGGACCACACCACCAGGTAGGCTCCCCTTACCTCCGCGCATCTCCTCGCCATGTTGGTGTTGGTGTCGCCTTTCCTTGTTCCTAGAGAACAGGCTGGACGTCGGAGCTCTTGGGCTCTTCTAACCGCGAAGGGCCTTCAGTGTTGAGGACGCCCCCACCCGAGCCCTCGGCGGGGAATAGAAGCTCGTCCCTCCTCCTCCTCCTTCCCTTCTCTCCTCATTCCCCTTCCTCCTTCTCCTCCTCCGTCTCCTCCTCCGTCTCCTCCTCCTCCTCCTCCTCCTCCTCCTCCTCCTTCCCCGCGGGTTGCGAACAGCCAGGACGTCGGAAAAATTGGGCTCTTCTATCCGAGAGAGGCAGTGATACTCCCCCAATACGGGATAACCGATTATTTTTTCGGCGGCCTTGTTCACGGACTGCGGTCCCACCAATAGGGGGTAACTCGTTTTTTTTCCGCGGCACCAACCGCGAATCAACGATGACGACATTTACGATCACGATTGCGACTTCGACCACGACGACTACGAGTCCTTCTGCCTCTGGAGCGCTCTTTCAGAACATCACACCTCAGGAGGAGATTTTTTGACCACTCCTGTTCACCGCCGAGTGAAAAAGGGGGGGCCAAACTAAAGAGCCCCTTCGGTTGCACCCAGCACAACACTTAAGAACAAACAGGCATCAACTTTCATGGAGGTTCCGCTTGAGAGAACCAGGATTCTGGGCTGGACCTTGGGCGTTTTCTTGTGGCTTCTTTTTGCGTAGAGTGGTCGTTCATCTGGACCTGGACAACTGTTTAAGAAAACGCTTCAAATGAAGTCCCTTCTCTTAGCCTCGAGCTTTCTTAGCTCTCAGCCGGGGTGTACCCGCTCAAGCTCCGCTCCCGCTAATGGGCCACGACCCGTGCCCCCCTTTCTTGTGCTGGCGCGTCCTCGCCAGGCCTCCCGGACTGGGATCCGAGCAGATAAGGGCGGAAGTTCGCGCCGCATCGCCGATGCATCGGCGATGAGGCTCGACGTGGAGCCCGATTTTCTCCACGCCGATGGATGTTCCGACCCCATTCATTCGGGCCCCCTTTGGGAGGTCTCTATCCGCGTCTTCCTGGCTGCATGCTCTCGTTCTTGTGCCGCTTCCCCCGTCTCCCCCCATCCGAGACCGAGAGACCGCTTCCGCACTCGGGGACTTCCCACCCCGGCTGTTTCTGTTGCCTGCCTTGTCTGCGTGGACAGGGCAGCACAGGCCAGCCAGCTCTGAGGAGCCCTGGCCGCGGGATTGCGGTCAAGACACTGAGACTAGAACCGCTCAGGGTTCAGCAGGGGCTCTGGTTCCCCAGCCTCTCCCTCGGCTTAGGTCGGGGAACCTCTTCGTGGCCGAGCCCCGCTGCGGCCAGAGAAGACGCACCAGCGCTCCGTGTTGTATCACGATGACTGTACCGATACCCCCCTGCCCATGGCGGAACCGTGGGCAGTTTATAATTCCCTGGCTCACAGGTCTCCTGGGGACCATCGTCCCCATGGGCGGGTCATCCTCATCCTCCTATCCGCCGACGTCACATTTTTTGCTGTAACCTGGGCCCCGGGGATCACCGCCCCCCCCCCGAAGACTTCGTTTCCGTTCCCGGGCCGTTTTTTGACCGCCCCGGGTCCCAGGGACGGCCTGCGCGGAGGCCAGAGTAGACAGCACACCAGCCGCCGCGATTTTTCGGCGGTCGGCGTCCCCCAGCCCCAGACCTGCCCTGGGGCGGCCGGCGTCCGCCGGCCGGCTTCGGCTTCTGGCGGCGCGTCGTCGTCGTCGTCGTCGGCGGCGGCCCAGGTCTCAGGGTCCCCCCATGCCCCAGGCCCGCCAAGGTTTTCCGAGGCGGACCCAGCCGCGGCAACGAGAGGCCTCCTGGGGGCCTTCGACAAAACCCCACACGACCAGAACCCGCCAACCTC